AGGTGATAGTTGTTTACAGAGGACTTTCTGGGGTTTCAGTGCTGTACTCTGCTCCTTTAGGGCTATGATCAGAGGACAAAGCTCAGTGTTGTAAATTCAAGCCTATATCTGTTGTTCATGGAATCAAATTGCCCATCCCGGGGAGTGGAAGCTTCTCTAATGCAGACACTTAGTTTAGTGACCCTTTCATTAGACTCTTTATTCTGGCCCGTCATTCTTTGCCTCTTTTCAAAACCTAACTAGTAATAGGCCAATCTCTAAAAGGCTTTCAGATAAGATCCTCAGTCTCCCCAAGCCTGGGATTCTGATCCAGAGCAAAATAGCCTGGAAATTAGGCATTGCTGGGAACCAATTTTCCTGGAAGGGTAGTCATATTACTACTGATTTATTATTAGCACTTCACATCTACAAAGAACTGTAGGAGCATAATCCTATATGGATCTACACAACCCCACGGTGACGTAAGTACGATATTGTACCTGTGTCATGGAGAAACTGAAGCAGGAAAGTGAAGTTACTTGCCAGAGTCATCTGGGGAGTCACTTTGGGAGTTGGGATTAGAATTTGGCAGTTCCTAGATCCTAGTCTTTGTCATCACAGTTGATTAGATTTCCAGATCATAAGGGACCAGTGTGATAATTTAGTCTGACTTCCTACATAAAACAGGCCATAGAACTTACTCACAATAATTCCTAGAGCAGATCTTTTGGAAAAACATCCAATCTTGATTTTAAAATTGTCAGTGATGGAGAATCCACAATGATCCTTGGTAAATTGTTCCTATGGCTAATTACATTGTTAAAATTGTACACTTTATTTCCAGTCCAAGTGTATCTAGTTTCAGCTTCCAGCCATTGGATCATGTTATAGCAATTGAGTCTTTGGTGGTAAACTGGGGACATTACATATTCTGGAATGGGACACAGCTGAATGGATTGGGCAAGCTGAGGCCAATGTAGAAGGAGAACTTTTGTTTTCACACATAAGGCTGGGGTAGGGGAATGCATGGACAAGAAGGGAGGTAGCTCAATAGGGTTCTGAGAAACAGCCACATTTTTCCAAGCTGTATCAGAGACTGGGAGAGAACTTGCCACGTGAGTTCTGTGAAGTTCTGAGCAGCCTCCGCTTCCATTGACCTCCATGAGAAATGAGGTGGTTGAGCACCTTGCAGTTTCAGGCTCTCGTGCCATGGAACAGCACTTGTGGAGCAAGGATTGCGTTGGGGTCAAATAGATTAAATTACCTGGTATTACAAGGAGTAGCCTCCAGGATATAGGAAAATAAGTGCTTTTTTGTGCAGTGAAAACTGCTAAGATAGTGTGAGATCATGGTAAGGATTTCATATGAAGGTGTCGCTGATTTCTAAAGAAGTCTTTCCTGAGACTTTCTGAATGGGATAATTTATCACCAGAGATTAATTGCACTTAATTATATTACTACAATGAATGGCTCACTGCACTTGTCTCTTTTAATTCTCCTGAATCCATTTCAGGCCACCCAAGCTGCATCTCTGCTTGCCTCCTTTTGTGCTTCTCCCACTTGTGCCTCATGCAGCCCCTCGTATGCCTTGAAATCCCACCACCTCAACCTAATCTGCCATGCCTCCGTCTTTCCTTAGTACACATCTCTCCTGCAGGGAGGCTATTTACCTTTTAGTGCGTCTCCTCTCACTGCTCAGTACTTAGCAAAGAACTGAAAATAATCATTGCAAGATGGCAACAAACTAGTGATGAAAATCATGATACTTACAAAACGTGCTTAACTACACTATTTGTTTGAGTAACTTGTTGCCTTCCGCAACGCCGCCTCCTGCCTATGGATCGTCCATCCTTGGGAGCAGGGGCCTTGTCATGTTTACCTGTGTATAAAGTGTCTAGCACACGGACACTATACAAATAGTAGTAATCTATTCACTAACTTAGTGTCTGTAGTTTGAGTAATTAATTACATTGCCCATCTATCGTGCTATATAAATCATTGATTATTGTTCACCTGGTATTAAATCCCTTCGTAAAAGGGTAGGTGGAATGTATAAAGTGTACATCCGATGACTAATTTGGTATGCACCTGAGCAACAAGAAATGGTATTCAGATTAATCAGATTATAAACTGCTGAGTGCATAGAGCAATAAAGATACTGTACAATCGATTATGGGGGTTTTTTGGTTTTTTTTTTTTTTTTTTTTGCAGCAGGATATTGGTGGTAAAAGTAATCCCTCAAATGAGTCTTCTTCACTAAAGAGAACATGTCTGATTATTTTCCTAATAATAGTTTGCTAATAATTGTATTACAGTTGCCTTAGCACAGGATGAGAAATCATTGCAGATAGAACATCTACTTCTGATTAAACAAGTGGACAGAGATTTCAGTTTTCCCAGTCGTTATTAAAGGCGGTTATTCCTATATGGCTATTTAAATCTGGTCAGGAAAAAAGACACCTTTTTTTCTTTTCCAAAAAAATTTTTTTTTTTAAACTAGTGTATTCTGGAAAATCTAATGACCTTAATGTGAATAATCTTGGGTTTATATAATTGACTACAGCTAGTTTTTAATTAAAAAATGACTTACACATGTTTTTCAGTACAGGATAAAGGGGTGAATTTGGTTTGCTGTGATTTGTGGGGGGTCATGTTTACTAAATATTCCATGAAAATATTTGTGAATCCAAATTTAGGGCAAAGGATTATTGTCCAAAAGCTTATCCTGGACGTGCTACTTTTTTTACTGTTTCTAAAACGTTTCCCATGCAGTTGGAAAGAAATAAAACAATACCGTGTGACTTAAGTGGCCAAGCATACAGGAAGAATAGTGACTGGTTACAATGAACAACCTGTAAACAACCTATAGTCTGAAAATGACTCGTTCAGCAGGTTATATGGTGAATATTCAGGAACAATTAATCCAATTGAAGAAAATGAGCGCTGGCTTGTGAATGACTTTCTAACCTAATAAAGGAGAAGGCTAGATTTTTTTGACTTTAGGCACCCAAATAAGTGGTTTGATTATTTTTTTCCAGACATCAGGAGCATGTAAGCTCCCTACAGGCTTCTGTGTGTTTATAGACACCTGTATAAAATATGATTGAGTTCTAGTCCTTCAGTCAGGACTATGGGTGAAATCTGACTGGCAATGCAGCCCTAGTTAGCAAGATGCAGACCAGAGTGCTTTGTATCAACTAGACAAAGACTGTAACTGCTATTAAAATCTACACTTAAATACAGGCACTTAATAAATGTCCATGTTGTGTTGAGGCAAGTCAGTCCCACTCCTCATTAGGCCTCCTGAGAGCATCTTTATGAATGAACATGATGATGATAGTGTTACTTGCTGCTCATTTGGGCTTCTGGGACATTTGTCACAGGAGAGTAACTCATTTGCTCGTCATCAGAAGCTCAGCCTGATCAGCATTTTGCTGGGTTTTGTCATGAGCTCTGATCTTCACAAACCTTACTAATATGTTAGTCAAGAGCAGAGGAGCACCTGGAAGCATGCGTTGGCCAATAAGGTCCGCAGGCCCTCACATAGCTCATGTTTGTGAGAGCAATATTGTCATGCTTGTATATCTGAGCATGGTTGTGATGTGCTCCCATTAGTGACCCCTATTTTGGGTGGGTTAGTTGCTCAAGGCAGAGGCTTGATGTGCAAATTTTTCTTCACAAACATTTTAAATGTTTCAAATTATTGGAAAGAGTACAGTGCTGGCAGGGGGACCCTTAAAGCTCCGTGTTAAAGAAATATAGGGTCTAATTCTGTTCATGCTTACATTCGTGTAAAATGCACGGCAATTGAATGGGCTTCAGTTGAGTCACGTTGTAATGGAAAGAATCCAGCCCAGTTTTCTTTAAACTCTTGTATAATTAAAAACGGCTTCATTTTTTATTTTATTTTTTTTGCCAGTTTAAAATGATACTTTGTAGGCCCTTGGCTTCTCCCCACCCCCACAAAAAGGATTTAGGTATGTGAAGGGATAAAAAACAACAAAAGGGGCAGTTAAAGCAGCTAGGATAAAATTACAAGGGTTATTTAATCTTCATGCTTCAAAGCATAAACATCAACAGCTGGGGTTAGATGACTTTTTCCCCCACCGCATGTTAGAGTATTGCACAATTAGGTTCATGCTGCTGGTTTTATGCCTTCTGAAGCATCCATGCTGGGCCATTCTGAGACAGGATGCTGGGCTAGATGGACCATTGGTCACTTACAGGATGGTAATTCTTATGTTCATAATTCAGCTTTTGCTAGTTTGATGTTTTTAAAAGACTACAAGGGAAAATGCAGGCAACAAGACGGGCCTGTCGGAGCCACCTAGGATGCCTACTACTTAATTCACTTGGCTTCACTATGGTCACATTAATCATCAGTGACCAGATGTAGAAACTTTTCTCTTCCTGAAACTCTGAGTAGCTGGCAGTAAGTGTCTGTGCAATGTGCAGAGGCAGATCCTTGCCTTCTCACCCCCTTCCCCCCAAGAGAAGTGTGCTAGATGTTGGAGCAGCTGCCACCCACAAGAGGCAGTTAACAAGGGGAAAGTTTAGTCCCTGCTTTGGAGGAACACTTGGACCGTGTCAGCTGAATGCGCTCGGTTTTCTTGGCCTCAATTTTGGGATCACAGAAGTTGCTGTTGGCTAGAAGTCCTTTTCCAAGGAAGCTCACTGATGTCCCAGCTCATTGAAAAGGTTTGTTTGGAGGTAATGAATCAGATAATGAGCATCACTCGTGACCATGACCTTTTCATGGAAAATCTCCATACCATGTCAGACAGGTTGTGTGTTTTGCATTGGCCACGTCCTTGGTTGTCCAGAAACAAGCATGCAACATATGCTCTTTATGATCATAAAACTCTGTATTTCCTTCTTCCTCTTTATAGGCGGTCTTGACAGGGCTGTTCTAGTACTTGCAGCTGTAGCCCAGTTAGATCTACCCTGCGTTTTTATTTATCTAGGGTGTCTGTGAAGCAGCTGGTTTGGCTCTTAAAGTACCTGAGACCTTTCTCTTGCAGAGCGCATATGGGTCCCTCGCTGAAGTGATGCAGAGATGGAAAGAATATCAGCTCCAGTGCCTGAAGTATCTCTATGAGACGCCCCCTCTTGTGGCAGGTAAGCCTGCTCGGCAGGAATGGGATATCTACTTCTGCTAACTGTGGCAAGGAACTCTTATGGGCTTGAAAGTCCTCCCTCTCCATAACTCCATTTCCATTCTCTCCAGCTCACTGCTTGTGTTGGGCTGCTTCCTGGGATAACCGCTTTCCATGCAGGCAGTGGAAGAGGAGATTACATGGAATGGATCAGCTATAAAATCATTCATCTCTATGGCCCAAAGTATCTTGCAGTGCTATGGCTCATCTTTGGTTCTAAGGCAGGTGGTATCGTCAGTGCAGCCTGCAGGATGAATGCCACCCACGGAGTTCTGCAATGTGCCCTGTAGCCTTTAATGTGGAGGAGCAGCCCGAGGGAGACACTAGGTCCTAGCAAGGAGTGTTCTACAGGGATCTTCAAGGAGAGTCCTGTATTCAACATATAAGTCCATATACATTCGGTCCCTTTTAATTTACACCCACTTTAAGGGCCACTCTGTCAGAGTGGTGTAAAGCAGCCTTAGTGTAAATGAGAATGCAGTTCATGGTCTCTATAGTCTGAAATCTTCTGTTGAAGATAAGGCCAGCTGCAATCTGTTCAGAGTTATGCTTGGCAAATTGCTGAGACTTGCTGACAATGCAGCCCACAATTGAACACAGCCTGGGACCTCCTAGAGTGCCTCTGTGCTACAGTAAAGCTCTGAAATGGACCACGCAGGTCTCAAATTACTTTTATAAAACACTGTTTTTAAAAATGTTGTTTGTTTCCCCATAGCTGCCTCTTGTTGTATTGCTGCAATGGAGTGTATAGTGATAGCAGTAGTGGGAGGGAGACATTAATCTCCTTTTGTGCCATTATGCATAGAATGACGCCCTCAAAGACTGACGGTTTAATAAATGTGAAGCTGTAGCATTAGCACGTTTATGGTCATTGTGTGGGTATATTAGCAATGTATCAATGTATTTAGAATTCACAATGTCATGACAGCAACCAGTTCTCAGGGAAAGATTATCTACAGCATTCATAACAAGAATGAGCTGCTGAGAACCAACATGAGCGACTGGGCTACACAAAGGCAGAGAGATGAGAAGGATACCTGGCACCAGGGCAGGATGGAAGCCTCTGGCTGCAGGTATTGTGGCATCATGGCGTAAGATCTTTGCAATGTCATCTCTGCAATCATCCTGCCCATTTGTTCAGTCAGTGAGAGAGCAGCCTGGCAGGTTCAGTCCCTTTCCTTTATTCTTATAAGGGGTGAGGATAAATGGTATTTTTTTCCCCTTCCTAAAATAAAACAAAACCTTTTACAGTTATGTGGTGCAGTTGCTTCACCTTCATTCCTCCTGTTTTCCGATGGTTGCTCTTCACAGTCATCATGGTTCAAGGGCAATGCTTGATCCCATTCTCCATCTCTCTGCAGAAGGCAAGTTCTGCAGCAGGACATTGGATGACTATGCCTGCTGGCCTGATGGGCTACCTGGGTCCTATGTGAATGTAAGCTGCCCTTGGTATCTTCCTTGGGCCAGCACAGGTAAGAGTCTATCCTTTCTGGGCAAATCCAACCCCAAATGTGAGATGTTTGCCTCTCAGCAGCCTGTTTAAACTTACGCAGCCATTGCATGGCACTGGGACTGTGTTGTGATCACCCTGTGATAACTTTTATGGCTGCTAAGAACCAAGGTATGACTGGCCGCCTGCAGCACACACACATTTAAGAGTGACTTATATGCTGGAGGCTGTTTGTGAGGAGCAAGGCATTGTAAAGGGCACCCCAGCTTACAGGGCAGGGGTAACACAGCTACTCATTACTCTGGATTGTACCCTGGTATGCCACAGCAACCCACTACATGGCAACGAAAATAATTTGCAACTCTGGGCTGTTCAGGCAAATGGAATGGAATCTGATCACATCTCCCCACCCCTCTTCTGGACAGTATGAATATGTTATATCCGTTATTCCTATAAGGGTATAATATGTGGTTACCCCAAAGGGAGTTACCCAGATATTTCAGCTTGAACGTACTCTATTTGATTAAAACAAGTTTTAAAATTTCTTTGTAGTTAATTAGTACAAGTAAAGAGGTATAAATGTCAGAAACGGTTATAAGAAAAAATAAAGAGAACGCTTACTGGTGCCTAATTTAACACACTACATTTAGAGTCAAAGCAAAGTTTTCTCACCACATGCTTTCAGCAGTGTTATTGACCAAATTCTTTGTCAGGACCCCTCTCCCAGAGTCCAACACCTTCCTTTGTCTCTTCAGGTGCGGTGAATGTGATAGGAAGGGGGAGGGAGGATCCCTAGGAGTGTTCGTCCTTCCTTTTTATAGTGTCTGTTCCCCTTGTAGAAAAACATTTCTAGCTGAGAACAAGGAGTCAGAGTCTATGTAGAAGGATATTCCCTGCTGTTTTTTTTTCCACCTGTTTGAACTTCGTTTGTGTTCCCTTCCTGCTTGATGATGACAGTGTTTACTGCTTAAATGCAAATTAAGCAGAGCACACATTCCTTTGTTTAGGACAGACCTGTTTGCCAGCTTCTGTTTGGGCGGGACTGTGGAGTTTGAAACATGTGTTGTTAACACCATAAAGGTGAATCTTAGAACTTCACATAAAATGTTGCCACACCTATTTTACAGGACAATACTGATCAGCAAATTGAGTTTTCAGATGATACCTTAAAAGGCATACCTTATACCAAGATTATTACAGTAGAGGTATATTGTCACAGCTGCTCACTCCTTTTTCCCTTGCTGTCTGGAATGACCCTTACACTTTTCACATTACTCCTTTACCAGTACCTTGCTCACACTAAATACCCATGTTGGAGATAATTTTTTCCAAGATGTATGTTTTGCATTTGTCCAAGGTGAATAACATTTTTCTTACACTCAGTCTATATTTCACTTTTATATTATTTCTCTGCTGTTGGTAGCAATTGTCAACTTGATATCATCTGTGAATTAATATTCTTTGTTTATCCCCTCCAGATCATTAATAAAGATATTAAATCTTTCAAGCTATTTAAAGATTTTCTCTTACTAATGCACAAATGTATTTTACCTTCCAATTACTTGACCTAAAAGCCCATCAGATGCTCCAGAACTCTTTCCAATAACTCTAATCTTTTTGGATATCTAATAACCTACTTATAGGATTAAACTCCTTCCCTCCAGCAAACCCATTTATTTTCAGTCTTTAAGACTCTACGTGCAGTCATTTGACTGCTAACAACACTTGAAACCATCACTGCAAGAGAGAGTCAGAATTTAACGCAATACTGTGGGGTACTAAGTTATCAGAAAGTGCAATATCTTTCATCTACTTTTGCAAATAAGTAAAATGAATTGCCCTGAAAGCAGAGTATTTGAGTGAAAATAATAGCAATGCTTTGGACTTCTATAGAGTATTGCCCAGGAGGATTGCAAAAGCAGTTTAGACACAAATTAAGCCTCACAATCTCCTTTCCTCTTCATTGCTGGTTAGACCCTATATTGTCCCTATTTGACATAAGGGAGTTGGGGGAAGGAAGGGAACAAAGAAATGAAGTGATTTGCTGAAGATAACACACAAAGTTACTGTGAGAGCTGGAAATGTAACCCAGGAGTCTGAATTTCCGTGGCCTGACTCATCACTGCACTGCACCTTGTGGAGTCATTTACACCACTGCCAAGTGGGTATAAAATGCTGCCAGACTAGATGAGTTGCGTCCTTACACTGTCTTTTTTCCCTGGAGGAAAAATCTTTCAAAAGATGGAGCACAGCAGTGAATTGAGCCTCCAGTTCCCTTCTATAACCACACTCACATTGTTTGTGTGTTCTTACATAGCAATGCATTCCCATAAATCCAAAATAGGCTCTGACACTGCTGGGTGTGGACCCCTAATTTTCTATTCTACACATGCTGAAAAGGGAGACAAAGTTACGAATGAGGCTTTGTTCAGGAAGTATCTCGAAAGGCTCTTTGGTGAGGTCTGATGTTACTGAGTGGGAAGTGCAACAGTTAAACGTAGCTTGAGAATTGTGACTCTTAAGCTATGTCTTCACTAGAAATGCTGCCGTGGCACAGCTGTAGCGTTGCAGCTGTGCCCCTGTAGTACTTCAGTGTAGACACACACTACCGTGATGGGAGGCATTTTCCCGTTGCTATAGTTGATCCACCTTCCCAAGAGGTGGTAGCTTGGTCAACAGAATTCTTCCATCAACCTAGCACTGTCTGCACTGGGGGTAAAGTCCAGCTTAAGTACATTGCTCCGGAGTGTGGATTTTCACACCCCTGAGTAACATACCTGGGTTGACCTAATTTTTTAGTGTAGACCCGGCCTTAAGAATATGCTTGACTTTATGCCTGGGGGTCATCCCATTGATAGAGGTTAGGATATGCCTACACTTAAAATGCTACAGTGTCACAGCTGTGGTACTTCAGTGTAGGCACTCGCTACAAGGACAGAAGGGGCTCTCCTGTCGCTGTAGTTAATCCACCTCCCTGAGAGGTAGTAGCTAGGATGGAAGAATTCTTCCTTTGACCTAGCCCTGTCTACACTGTGGGTTAAGTCAGCTTAATTAAGTCTTTAGCGTGTGATTTTTTTCACACCCTGTGAGATATAGCAATGCCGATGTAACTTTTCAGTGTCGACCGCCCCTTTATGAAGTAACTTCTCTTGTCAACAGGTCAGTCAACTGCAGGATTTTCTGCATCTTCCTCTCAACATCTGCTATTGGCCACTGATCTGGTGTAGCAATTCCTGTGTTCCCAATTTGTGCAGTGAGGCTGTAGCCATTGCAGATGCTGTGGAGAGTGTGACCCGCCACTCCTGCTGGGGGTAGAACATAGAAAGCAAAGTAAATGGAAAAAACCTGTTGTACTGTTTGGCCTGGATAGTTATCACATTAGGGCTTGGGATAGATGTTGTGTGTTTTTTTTTTTTCTTCCCCCAAGTAATTGCTTAATATGATCATTTTGTGTTAAAAGGTAATCAGATTCCATTTAGCCAGTTACATTAACAAGCCTGAACTGGTGCCAGTTGGATTAGAGGGCTGGAAAAAGAGCCCATACTGTGAGTGCTTGCAGTGAGAGATTTTGTAATGCAGGAACTCTTCTTGTTCATACTGCAGACTTGGCCAGCTTTGTATTTGAGCAGCTACTTTGTCTCTCTTATTCACAGGTCTCATTCTCCCTCACTCTATTCTGATGGGCTATCAGTCTTAGCACCAGACTGACTCATGGCTTTGCTGACACATGTAGCTCCGCAGGGTGACTAGCAGGACAGGAAGCTGAAAATGATTGTTTTTTCATCCACTTAGCCATTAGTCCAATCCCTGATGCTGTCAGCAGTCTCCCCGTCTCTCTGTCTGCAGCCACCAACTTTTCTCAGGGAGGTATAACTGTGTCCCACAGTGTGTGGTAGCTTCTGAAACTCTGCCTGCATCAAACTGGTAGCCTATGCTTTAGTGCCCTGACCAGAGAGGGTCCGAACAGGCTACTCTCCTATTCTAGAGTAAACAGGAGAATTTTCTCTTACTCCCCCTATCTTTGAGGGGAGGCAAACGCCTGCATTTTCAAATCCATGTGCTTAAAATGAAGCACTTAAATTCATATTTAGGCATCAAGTCAGGAACTTTTGAAGGAGCTTAAGAGAACTAGGAACCCAGTTCCAGTGAATTAAATAACAATGACATGAATCTGAGAAGTGCTAAGTCATACTTCATATCAGCTTTTTGCCCTCTGCCAGACTTAGACGAGCGGTTCCCCGCCCCAAGCTGTCTGGGCTGACATGTCTGTTGATCAGCTAAGGTCCTGGTTGAATCTGCTGTAACCAATAGCAGGGGGTTTGTCACTCATGGTCCTGAGACCAGAGGAAGCACTAGCCCTTAGGGTTTAGTGCTAGTCAGGGACTTGGGAGATCTGGGCTCTAGTCTGTATTCAACTACAGACTTCCAGTGTGACTTTAAGCAAGTCATGCAGGCTTGGATCCACAAAGGGACTTAAGTGTTGTGACACCCAGTGTTGCAGTGCCTAGAAGATCACTGGTACAGTACTGTAATCTGCAAAGCCTGAGGTTCCCATACAATGAATGGGGAGAAATTGGCACCTGAAAATGCAATCCACCGTAGCCAGCATGCTAGGCAGGAAGTCACCTAAGCTAGCCAATAGAAGATGCCAACAAGAGGGGTATGTCCCAAGCCCTGGACCTCTCAGGGTTTGGCATCTATCTTTGCTTTCAATCCCCAACCAGAAACCTCTCTCCTGGAGTCAGGTGGCTTAGGTATCTAGTTTCTTGGGAGAAGGAGTGAGGCACCTGTGTCATGCCACACTAAATGGGAGGGGGTTATTGATGCTTGCCTTGTGACTGTTAGCCTAGTGCTTGGCACACTCACCTGGGACGGTGGTGAATCCAGGTTCAATTCCCCACTGTCTGCAGAAGTGGGAGAAAGGGTTTGAACAAGGGTCTCCCACACCTGTAACGAGAGCACTTCAATCACTGAACTATGGGATACTCTGAGGTGCGAGGTTTAGGTTAGGTATTAGGAAAA